GACAAACCGTGATTTACGCTTGCATGTTTTTGAGGCTTCAACTTTCTCCCCAGTTTTTTTCCATAAGCCAAGGATCCTCCCCATATTATGCTTAGGCAAAAAGCGCCGCGGTAGTTGGGCAAGGTGCAGTAATTGGAAACACGCGCGTAGTAGCGATCTAATAAGAGCAGGCAGTGGGCGGGACCGCCTACGTACAGATTTGAAAGGCGGCAGCCCTTAGGAGGATAATGCTAAGCTGCCTTAAAACGTCTTCAAACTCTCGGTTGGTAATTTCCCATTCGTTCCATATAAGTGAAAAACCAAATTTGATCGACGCGGAAACGCGAGAATGGTTCCAAAAGAACTATAACTATAGTGAAACTAGCCTTAACGGTCGTTGTTCGAGTTGTTTGCGTTGCGACCCGTTCCATAAGCTGCTTTAGCGCATCATCAGAGAGCTTCCCAACAATCTGGCCACGTCTGAAATACTTTTTTTTCTATAGACTATAGGCGTAATCAAGAAAAGCCAAGCAAAAAAGTAAAGGAAAAAGCTAAGCAAAAGTATTTAATTCAAAAAATATAAATGCGGTAAATCGAAATAAGAGTGACTGGCCTCGCCATACTGATCACAGCAGACTCAACCATTTTTGCCTTTTCGGGTTTGACAGCTGATAAGTTGGAAAGACGAACAAGGGCTTGCTGATCAAGAATCTAAATGAGCAGGTAATGAATTATAATGAAATATTTGATCAGCAAATGCAAGTTTTGAAAAGATACAAACACAAGATAGTTGAATTACACAAAACAACAAAAATACTTCCGGGCAAGGGCATCAAGCCGACATCTCAGATTTGCAAGCTGCAAATTTGATGTTCGGCTGTTTCTGCAGCCAAATTGGATAGCATCTGGGTTTTAAATTTTCCTCAATATTCCCTTCTCTTCCTGGTACAAGGCGCAGGTAGACATTCCAGCAAGTACTTAATCGTCTATTCCACAAGACTGGTCTGCCTGCTTGCGGTTGTGGATTTAAGCCCGTTTCTCAGTGCGTCTCCGTTGTCCATTCAATTCCCTAGTATTGTCTATCTTCTATGTTGATCGATCACTAGTTTACAAAGAAAAAATCTTCCGCTGACCATAAAGCGCTTCCACATAGAGCGCACTTGAATAAAGGGCATTCAAAGAACAAGACAATGTTACAGTAGTTCCTCATCCTTATGGGAAAAAAAGCTTTTATGACAGCTGAAATGGAAAAACAAGATGCCCGGAAAAACGTCCTGCCTGAAAGCGTTTTTGTCGTGCGTTGAGAATCCATATACAAACACGCGATTTTGGAGTAAAGGAATCCAAAGCGGTTATATTCTTTTCGAATAATCCTTATTACTATACTCCAAAAATATCTGAAGCAAATCATACATTTTAAGCAGAAAGAATGGATAAAATCGCTTTATTTATCTGCTCAGTAAGTCTTTTGTTTGCAGAGAATACATAAGGATATAGCCAATGACCTCAGGATTCAAAATTTAGTCATTTCCCAAAAAATTTAAAAAGCTGCCATTTGTGTACGCATATATAACAAACCTGTGACAGCAAAGAATTCACAGCATTTTCCTGATTTTCAGCCTGTTGCCGAGTTTTTTCTTGTGCGTTTTCGCTTCGAACAGCAGCCTAAATGGATAACGTTCCTTAACTACTAAGTTCAAGAAAACTGAAAAGACTCCACAGGCTCGACTTAAATACTTGAAGTACCTGAGCTTCTACTCCATGCTGCAACTGCGGCAAAGTGTCCATAGCTTAATCTTTGGATCAAAGATTTGATCCAAGTAGGGGCGTCTTTAGTGAAAATTTCGAGGACCGGTAATCGGGCCCGCGTGTGGGAACCATTTCGCGCGCGCGGCTGCGCTGCAGCCTTTCTCTGCTGGGGCACGTCGTCTCTCATCATTGTTCTTTCCCTAATCTGAACCTGGCTGAAGTTGGCTTATTTTTGTTTATATATTTGCCTATACATGTGTATATTCCTGTATATGCGCTATTCCACTTGTTTTTGATGTTTTCTACTTCCAATGCTCTCCTGTCCAGAATTCAAAATTGTAGATCTGAAATGACTCTGACGCGGAATTGAAGACTTAGCAAATATTGCATACACATCGTATACTCCTGCAAACTTGTTTTGTATGCGGTAAAAGGGCCACAAGAAAGTGGTTCAGATGCTGTGCTTTGGGTTAGCTGTAGCAACGCTACAATCTGCAGAGCATGATCGCACATGTCTTGTTGCGCAGGTGTAGGGAAGGAATGTTGCATTTGCAAAAACTGCTCATGGCAGCTTAAAGAGAAGAACAGTTGAATTTGTTCATATATGTACATATCTCTTGAAAAGAAATGTGGGGGTGAGGTTACTTAAGTACTCGTGATATTCACTGCAGCTGGCGGGGTGTAAGCCCTTCTGGACCGCTCTGTCCTAGAAACACTACACCTGTCCTAAAGCGAAAAACGCGCGCGCATGCGTTGCGTACAAAGCGCCGCCTAAACTGAACGAGTTGTACTAGAATTAGAAAAACCTCGGACAACTACTGCACTACGTATTCAGCTTCTAATCTACGGCTATTTTATTCAGCCACTGAACTATGATTACTGTAGTCAACTACTGAACTATTTATTCAACTACTAATCTACGACTGTGCTACTCGGACAGCACACGCACGCAACGCATACTCATGCGAGCAACCTTAGCAATAAGTTTAGAGCGCTTTGACTCCATTCACAATCGAAAACGGGAAGAGGAACTTAGGTACCCGTGATATTAGGCGCAGCTGACGCAGTGCCTGTAAGGCACATTCTAATGCGCTCGTTATCTCGCAATTATCTACAAATACGCCGCTACTACTAGTTCCGCCTATTATTCCTGGCTTACTGCCAAAGAACGCTACATTTGGGATGTACGTTGCCAAGCCCCGCCCTCCAAGCCGAGCAACCTTGGCAGCTTGCCAAAAGCGCTTAAAATTGTCCAAGTCAATTGAAATTAGTGTTAAATGACAAGAAATTTCTGTAAGATGACCAAATAAAGCACTGAGCATAAAATAAATTTGATTTTTGGATTTAAACTGGTTTCAGAGGCAGAGTTATTTCTTAAGGATGTCAGGTAGGGATTGATCAGATCCACCTGAGTGTGTAGCGGTGACGATGTATAGGATAGAAAAGGCTGATTATTAATTATTTATTTACTCTAAACTATAAACAGGGAAGGAGAGGGAAGGAGAGGGAAAGAGCAGGGCTGGAGCTACCAGCCGGGCTCATGCCAGCCGGGCACACACACTGATCCTCTCATCGGCCGCACCCAGCCAACACCTGTCTGGTGGGCTGGATGATTCCCGACAAGGATGTGTTCCAGTAATACTTAGAATCAAACATTAGTGAAGATCTAAGCGGCGACATTACTTATAATGACGAAGAAAAGTTAGAAGAATCAAGATTTCCTTACAATAGAAAAACATTTTCGGCAAAACAGTGAATCGAAGTTTTCAGACCTCCGATTCGTAAGCGATAAGGGAAAGAATCTAACTTACTTCAAAAATATAACAAGCAACTAAAATTTTAAGGAGGTTTCACTAAACTTCAAAAAATGATAGGGATTGTCTTTTCTAAACTCGATGAAAATCAAGAGTATAACTGTTTCTGGACCTTTCACAAATAAAATGATATATCCGCTAGGCACACCTGCGGGTTGTGTGTTGGCCTGCGAGACAATTTTCTGCAGGAAGTTGTACGACAGTTTTTTTTCGTATGTTTCTCAGAAGTTCAAACTTTCGCTGCATTTTTCAACAATCATTCCGAAAGAAGGTACATTTGCTAGTAATGGGTGAGCTCGTTTCTAATATAACAGTAAACA